TAACCCCCCTTAAATCCCTTTGGGGGTCAATTTTCCCAAAACCCATTTTGTAGCGGATATTAACTCCCCCATGAAAGAACTATGCTTACCAATTTTAAAGCCAGTAGGTCAAGTACTTTAAAAACGAAAATATTTATCTTTTACGCCCCTTAACCCCCCTCAGCACCCCTTGGGGGGTCGATTTTCCCAAAACCCATTTTGTAGCGGATATTAACTCCATGAAAGAACTACGCCTACCAATTTTCAAGCCGGTAGGTCAAGTATTTTAAAAACGAAAGTATTTATCTTTTACGCCCCTTATTCCCCCTCAACACCTTTTGGGGGGCTATTTTTCCAGAACCCATTTTGTAGCGGATCTCTACTCTATGAAAGGAATCTGCTTATACCCAATTTCAAGATTGTACGTCGAGTAGTGTAAAAATAGAAACAATTACAGTCAACCCTCCTATAACGCGGTGAGTGCATACCGCGTTATATGGAAACCGCGCTATAAGAAACTCGGATTTAACCGTACAAACCAGGCTAATTCATAGCGCGTTCTATGGAAACCGTCTACCACGTTGTATGGAAACCGCGCTATAAGAAACTCAGAATTAGTACAAATCACATCATTCGTACCGCGTTATATGGAGACCAATAAATACAAAAGACAAGATAAATTATAAATTATTTTTATTGAATTGAAGAGTTCATATAAGGATATGATAAAAAAATGAAACAAAAACTAAACAAAAAACTGTTTTCCAACCAAAACAAGAAAGACTTTTGTAAAATTATGTAATCTTTCAACACTCGTCCTCGCTGTCAGATATGAGTCGCCTAATTCGCCTTCTTTTAATGGGCAAAATGTCTTCCTCACTTGGTTCATCTTCACATTGGTTTTCGATTGTAGCTTTTTTTTCTAACTCCACTGAAACCTCTCTAAAGGAAGCCAAGCAATTTCTTAACTCTCTTTTAAACTTTGCCCTGCGCACCGTTGGATGATCAGTTTGAATGAAATGAAGTTCTAATTCTTTTGCCATACTTAGCCCTTTTTTCACATCTTGTAAATCGAGATTTGGCACCCATTTATTTTCCTTATTTTCGTTTACCAATGCATTTGAGTTGGGTACATCAATTAACTCCATCAGTTTTTCCTCATCTAAAGCTTCTTCCCCGAGTACAAGTTCTTTTACATCCTGATGGTTTACTGCAAATTCTTCGAGAAGCAATGTTTACTATTTCTGTAACTGGGAGTGAAATTGTAGAATCATCCTGTATTGCTTGAACCATTTGAGGTAAATGTGGTTTCCAACACGCATTAAGCGTTGATGGTTTAATTTCCGCGCAAGCCGATGACACGCTTCTAATACAATCTAAAATAGAAAATTCCATCCACACTTGAGTAAGAGTTTCATTTTCACTATTTTCTAATCTGTCGAAAATGGTTTAGAAAAGTTGGCGTGTGTAGTACATTTTTAACGTTTGTATGACTCCTTGGTCCAAATGTTGTATTAATGACGTGCAGTTAGAGGTGGAAAGAAGACAATTTTCACATTTGGATGACCCAGTTCTATGTTGTGGCAACCAGCGTTATCAAGAACCAATAAAACTTTGAAATACAAAATTTTTTCCATCGTATAGGTTTCCACTGCCGGGATAAAACAATTATAAAACCAATCCTTAAATAAATCTTGAGTTATCCAAGCTTTCTTATTAGATCTCCAAAATACAGGCAATCGGGTCTTATTAATATTTTTCATTACACGGGGATTTGAAGAACGATTTATTATCATTGATTTTATCATCAGGCTCCCTGATAGATCGCTGCACACATGAAGGGTGAGACGTTCTTTTGAAGGTTTAAACCCCTGAGCACGCCTTTGATTTTTTGAAATGAAGGTCCTAGATGGTAGTTTTTTCCAATATAAATGATGTCTCATCAGCGTTAAAAATCTGATCATGTGAATAACCTCCTTCATTAATACTTTTAGCTAGTTCCAGCTGATAATTTTTCGGCAGCCTCAGCATCTGCTGAGACCTGTTCTCCTTGAAACTTAATATTGTGCAATGTGTACCTTTTTTTTTAGTTTTTCAAACCATCCTTTACTCGCGACAAACGAATAATTTTCTAGCCCTGCATAAGAATGCCCAATATTCCTTAAATTTTCGTAGATTTTAAGTGTTTTCTGCTTGATAAGATTTCCACTGATAGGAATCTTTTTGGCTATACAGGCTTCCAACCAGATCATTAACGCCCGTTCCATTTTAACCATATTAGAATTTCGTGTGCGAGTAACACGTTTCATACCTAACGGACAGCCATCTGCCACAGTTTTCCCTTATATTATCTGCATTTTTCTTTAAGGTTCGAATTGTAGATTCATTCAAATTTGTTGATTTTGCAACAGACGATAGTTTTCCCCCGCCTTCTAAATGATTTAAAATTTGGATTTTATCTTCAAGCGATATAAACTTTCTTTTTAATCCTTTCCTTGTTTCTTTTGTGTTTGACATGATGCAAATCTAGGGTTAATAGTTACTTTATTATTATTATATTAGAACAATTGAAGAATATTACTTACAGTATTGTGCAATGTTGTCCAATTATAAACCACAAATTAAGCAGCAAAAAGCTAAACGAATGGACGGTGCAGACAAAATTTTAGAAATAATTGGTCACCAACGAGGCGTACTGTGAAAGAGCTCTTAGATGGCTAAAACCGACGCCGTAAACGGCTAAGAGATAAGCTTGAATGTTTATATAAACATATACAGTTAAAACCATTTATTGGGTGCACGGAAAGAACTGATGGGACGTTGTTGAACGGAAACCGCGCTATAGGAGGGCTGTCGCAATTTCAGCTCCGCGTTATATGGAAACCGTGTTCTGAGAGTACCGCGTTATAGGAGGGTTGACTGTATTTATAACACCCCTTAACCCCCCCCCCCGTAACGCCCCTCGCGTTTCGAATTTCGCAAAAAATCCGTTCTTAGCTGATCTCTACTCTATGAAAGGAACATGTCTACCAAATTTCAAGTCTGTAGGTTGAATAGTTTCGGAGATATCGTGATTAGCCAGTCAGTCAGTGAGTGAGTCGCTTTTCTCCTTTATATATATAGATATATGACAGAATCACAGTATTAAGTGATAAAATAGAAAGCGATATTCCTTGCAATTTTCCATTTTCCTTTCTATATATGGTGTTGGACTATTTTTTTTTGTTTATTACTATTTATTCATCAATTTAATTATTCTAATAAAATATATAGTAAAAAAGAAATCATATTCTCAGAAATTAGGCCATCCCAGGTGGGATTCAAACCCACGACCTTTGGATTAGAAGTCCAACGCGCTATACATTGCGCTACAGGGACACAACGAACGATTTTCCTTTATATATATGCTCTGTTGGACTATTATTTTTATTTGTTACTATTTATTAATTTTTTAGTTTAATTAATGAATTATTATTTGAAAAAACTACATTAATATCAAGTGTCACTATAAGTTTTAAAAAATGTATTTGAACTTGAATGGATGAATAGAAAGTATTTTATTAACGATTGAAAATTAAAACAAGATATATATATATATATATAGGTAGAGAGTGAAGTAATAGTAAGAATTGAAAAATGATTGATTTTAATTCAGTTTTTACATCAGAAGATCGATTCATAAAAGAAATGAATGCACTCTAAGACTCTAACCAACGCAGGGCAGTGAGATTAGAATTCTCTTAAGGCCCTAGACTCCAATGCAATGGTCCATAACCTTTGTCGACATACGGAACCCTTGAAACCATAAGTTGTTTCTGAGGAATACCATCCAAAAGAGCTGTAGAAGAATGTATCTTACAATAATATTTTTAGTAAATCAACATGTAATTAAGTAAAGACATTAAAAAAATACTACATTTTGTATTCAAATTTTTTAACTTAATATATTGATGTATACTCATGAATTCGTGCTTCAGGTGCCATCTACTATTTCATTGTATTTAATACTCGATATACATGTTTGTATTTTTTTACACAAGCGACCAAAGTCTAAGCATGTTAACTTCAGTCGTATTTCATACACTGCATTAGTTTGATTCCATATTTTTGATTTAGTTTACCATATACGTTGAGAAATATTTTTAATTTAAATATATTGTTCAGAATGACATTAAAATGTTTATAACTGTAGGAGAAACTTCTGCATATTTAGTAAATTTTTAATTAAAAATTAAGGAGCTGTTTCTGCTTAAATTTAAACTTTAACGTCAAATATGTTCATAACATGTTCCTTCTTCATTGGCAACTTTCTGATTTATCGATTTATGCTTGAAATACGTGACTTTTATGATATCTAAGATTTGCTTTTTTATTCATAATATATTTACTTACATTTATTTTTATAAGCAAACTTGCCCTTAAGAATTTAATGTTTTATTGAAATTAAAATTTTACTAAAATTTTGGCACTTTGGTTAAGTAAATAGTGATCACTTGCGGAACTCTATCAAAGTTCCAGGGAATCCAGGTTGAAGACCTCTGAAGTGGACAGTACATAGCATAAGGTTGTCAAGAACACATACAATCGATAAATTGTAATAAATAAATGTTCGTGACTTATATTCTCAGAAATCTAGGCATAAAACCACTCGACCAACTGTCACTTTTTGGCTGATTAATGATGGTGTATAGTAATAAGCTTAAGCCTAGACAAGGAAAATGATATGGCAATGATGCAGGTTTACAACTGTTGGCAGTTGGTCAAACCATGATCTTATTTGGTACGAGTTGGAAACAAGGCAAGTCCTACCCCTTCCAAGACCTTAAGCTTGGGTCCAGTTGGCTCATGCCTCAAAACGCCTCTACAGAAGGCTCTGACGAGCAGAAAGTGCATTCTTAAGGAATTAATCATACCGTATGTTTATCAGATTTTACTTACTTATTATCCTGATATTCAGACCTTATGATTAATTTAAAATGTAAACAAAATCTTTTGATGGCATATGTAAATGAGAAGCAATCGTTATTCGAAATTTACTTAAAAAACAAACATTGATCATTAATTTTATTATCAAATTTAAATGTTTTTTGAATGATATAAAATATTTAATATTTTAAAAATTTAGATTATACTACCCATTTGAAACACTTTGTGGCGCTTGGTATTGAGCTGTGGTACGTTTTACAGTGTTTGTAATTTGTTTTACCCCTGAAGAGGTCAATTGTTTTGCCCAAAATGTTCCAAATAAAGGCACATTTTTTATTGCGTATAACTAAGCATAATACTTAACCCAATGCAAAAATGGAAGAAATTTATTTTAATTTTAAATTTTAAAGTTGTCTCACTATTTTTTATTTTATAATTGTAGAACACAAAACCCCCTAAATATCTACTTTTTATTTGTACACTCTACATGCTAAGAAGAATATTTCATGTATACTTTTAAAAGAATTTCTCTCATACTTAGAAAAAGTTCCACGTTCGTACTTCTTTTTCAAAGGGTTGTGGATTGTATGTGTGTGTTCATTCATATATGCACACACAATTTGAAGCATGTTGAAGTACAGAATCTTACATTGAAATGGGGACAGTGATAATATAGGAGTTTTTGGATTATTTTTCCCATTTCCGTTGTTCTTTACTGAATATTTTCAGGAATCAAAATTCCTGCCTTACCCGGAAAGAAAATCTCGGATGAGAAGTATTTCAGTATCATGGACAAAACTGTATCTCTTTAGAACCTTAGCACTAATAATCTCACCAAAAAATTAAAATATGTACAAATCAAAGATAGAAAGAAAAAATATCAGTACCCTTATACAGTGTACGGGAAAACCGGTTATAGCCAGCCTTCGATATCCCGTACGGTGTACGGGTAAGCCAGTTAAGGGGTTAAATAAGAAAAACCCCCCGTGGTGAATTGTAAACAAAAGTGTTTTATATTGAATAGCAAACTTTCCTTTGAGAAACACAAACTATTATGTTTTTCTCAGTAGACTCATACATGGTAATTTAAATTCATGAATTATAACGTAAATTTGATATTACATTAATATATTTTAATTACATTAATTTGTAATGAAAATATGAAAAAGATTGAAAAATTAAAACAATAATAAAATGTAAAAAAACTTTTTTAAGAACAAGCTTTTATTTAAACGCGCTAAAAAGAATAAAATAAACTTTTCCTTTAAAACTTTTTTACTATCAACTTATAACGTCATTACACAATTTATATGATATAAAAGCTTGTCGCAATATTTAAGTACTCATATTTACTTAGTTTGAATTTTTAAAAACCAAAATCAATCAGGTCAAGTTATTTATTTTACTTGTTTATCTACACAGGTAAATCTCGCGACAAGCTTTTATATCATATAAATTGTGTAATGACGTTATAAGTTGATAGTAAAAAAAGTTTTAAAGGAAAAGTTTATTTTATTCTTTTAGCGCGTTTAAATAAAAGCTTGTTCTTAAAAAAGTTTTTTTACATTTAATTTATTTTTTACTTTTTAGTTATCGCTGGACAGGTTTCTCAGCCTGTTCAACTCATTGAACGCTGGTTCGCCATCCCTGGTTTAGCTGAATTAATTCTCGCAAAATGGTATTAGACTAAAAACACAATTTTTTTAAATCCGTAATTTTTAAGCAATTTTTTCAATCTTCATGCAGATTTTGGCTAACATTGTTCTACACACGAAAAAAAGGTTTAGTGAGATTATCTTCATAAATGACAAAGTTATTAAATGTTTAATTAAAATTTTGACTATTTTTGAAAAACTTAAAGAATATATTATTTATTTGAAATATTTTGAAGATAAGGGATGTATTTCTCTAACATATTAGAAGAAAATTTAATTGTTTATTAAAAACTTCAAAAGGCGTTTAAATATTTGTATTAATCAATAAAATGCTTAAGACTAAAAACGCATTTTGTAATCAAAAAAGAAAGTTTTATCAAATAATGATAATTTTTTGCTGGACATTGAATATCTTCTACGTAAGAATCTATTTTTTTTTAATTGCTCAGATCATCTTTAGAAACTTGATTTTGAAAAAAATCAATAATTAAATTCAAATAAAATTAACAGATTCTATTTGTAATTAAATTTAAGGACACATGTCGTAGTGTGTGTTTAGATTACTGGTGATAAAATGAGGTATATTTAAATTACTCGTAGGCTTAAAATTAGAAAATTTCTTTAAAAAATTACTTCATTTTATTGTAAAATTATTTTTTTTAATCGAAAATATATTGCATTTCTAGATAATATTTTTCTCTTATTGTTTTCCTAGCGGATTCCTTTTTGATGGGTAAGATACATTAAAAAAATGATCTTTCCGATTCTGTAATTATTTTTTGTCTGAGTTTCATAGATTAAAGTTAGATAAATTATTTAAAGAATTTTTCAATACTCCATCTCAGTTTAACTTGGCAGCGTTCAGAAAGGTATACAATGTACCAATCTACTTGAAAAATAGCTCTACTTTTTTGTTTTGAATTTAAATCCAAGGAAATAGATAGAAATTTGTAAAAAAATTGCATACGTTGAAGAAATTAGATTGTTTTTACGTTGTAGAAATGTAATTATTTTTAGACAAAGTTAATTAATACTGTCAATAGCGGCAACGTTATGAAATTCCAGTTTGGCTGAAAACCGATTTTCGACGCCAACTTTTGTCATTGTTGTAACAATAAAATTATTACAACAATGCAGATATATCCAAGTTGGCGCCCAAAACTAGTTTAACGTTTTTAAATTAATATCTTTTTAATTAATTGCAATATCGGAATATAAATGGTCAAAACATGCATTGTCATCCAAACTAAACGTGTATACAAAATTTCAGCTCAATGGGAGGAAGATATCAGCTTCAAAATTGAGTTGCAAGATTCCACCCGAACAAATTACATACATACATACATACATACATACATACATACATTGTAAGTTAAATAAAAGCTTTAATAATAATAGTCTATTGTTGAAAATTCTAATATGATTATTTAAATATACTGCTTAACATTTATATTGCTTTAATACATTTTAACAACATTCATTTGTGATGAATAATAAGCTCGCGACGCGCGCGTGACTGAAGGGATTTATATTAAAATAAATAACAATTTTCTGTTTTTCAAGCAAAGTTGTCTTTTTTATATAACCAATAAAATCTGACATATTGTTATTTAAATTTAAAAATATTTAAAACTCATAAAAAACAAAGCAAATTATAAGATAAAAAAGTAAATATCTAATAAGGCGGGTAAATTTTATCATTTTAATTATTAACTTGTGCTTTATTTGATTATTTTAAAAGTGAAAATTAAAATAATTACCGTAGAATTTAAATGTACTTGTATTTAGTAGTTTCAC